AACTTATTCAACTATGTCTCTGCTATCAGTGGATAGCTGAAGACACGTTCTCTTAGTAATAGACTTGTCTTAGTCTTGATAGATGGCCTTTAAACAAGTTCCAGGCAAAACAGTAGTTTCTGAGGGGATCTGCTGGGGGCAGTTCAATTCAAGGCAGAGAGATAAACTCAGAAGGTTATGGTGCTGTTCTGGGAGATCCAAAAGGAGTCATCTTGTTAGATTTTCTCAAAGAACACAAATATAGGGACTTATTTAGAAAAAAGGTTTTAGAAAACTGGAAAATGACATTGGAGAGGAAAAGGCCAAGAAAGTTGCAATAAGGAATTCTTTTTTATCCATCCTGGGAGTGTACCTGTTCACTCTTTGAGAGTAGCAAGGACTGTCCAGTAAGAATTTCTCTGGCAAACCTTACCCCATCTACCCTACACTCCTGATCTTAGCCATTCAAACTTCTTTTGGTTTCCCAAACTTAAACAAACGTTGACGGAAACACAGCTTGAGTCCCTCAAAGATGCCAAAGCTACCATTTTGATGTGGTATAAATCGAAGAGCACAGAATTCTTCAGGAAAGGGTTAGAGAGATGGAAACACCACCTTCAGAACTGTATAGTTATTTTTGTTGTTGTTGCTGTTGTTAAGTGCATCTAGTTGGTTCCAACTTAAAGCAAACCTATGCACTAAAGAAAGAAACACTGTCCAAATATTCTGGTTCAGAGCAGCCAATGAACAGAGAAGATCACAGGGCCAGCCCCACCACGAGACACCACGTCCCTCACTGACCCACAGTGCTATGGGGGACAGCACTGGGGACACAAAACGGGATATGTCCCCAATCCCACCCTACCACACCGGGTGAAACACTAAAGGCCTGCAGCAGAGCAGCAGGGGGAGCAAAGCAACGAAGTCCCCGAGGAATGCCAAAGGTGGACTTTAGGGGCAGGGTGTGGCACCCCAGCAGACTTAACTGGAAAACACTCATAAAGGTCAATGGACAGATCTAGAACTGTTTTAAGGCTTTCTTTTTGAGCTGTTGATTTTTTCTTTTTCTTTATTTTTTTCAGTTGTTGTTGCTGTTTTCTTTTGTTATTATGTTTTGTTTTGCTTTGTTTTTGTGCGTGTTATTGTCTCTGCATGTCTATCTGTACAAAACAGGTGGGATGAACAATCCAGATAAGGGAACAATGGGAGCGACGATTCTGGGGGGTACCTGGGAGAGGGAGAGATGAGGGAAAGGAAGAGGGATAGCAACAAACCCAGAGACAACGGAAGAACAAGTGATCTAAAATGGAGGGTGAGGAGGGAAGAGGAAGCTTAATCAAGGGCAAGGTAGCCAAGAGGAATTACAGAAACCAAAATGAAGGCCAAACATGATAATGAGACAAGAAGAAAAAGGAAATAGAGGGAAGAACTGGGAGGCACAGGACATTTATAGGGTTCTAAAGATATACACATTTATATATAATGATAGGAGAATGGATCTATGTACATATATTTATTTGTTAAGTATTAAGGTAGCAGACAGACATTGGGACTCTACTCAATTACTTACTCAACTCAAGAACACTATTCTAATAACCCAATATTCTGTGATGCTCACCTTCCCTGACATGATCGCTGAAGACAAAATTGGTGCATAAGCAAATGTGGTGAAGAAAGCTGATGGTGCCCAGCTATCAAAAGATATAGCGTCTGGGGTCTTAAAGGCTTGAAGGTAAACAAGTGGCCATCTAGCTGAGAAACAACAAAGCGCACATGGAAGAAGCACACCAGCCTGTGTGATCATGAGGTGTTGATGGGATCAGGTATCAGGCATCAAAGACCCAAAACACAAGAAACAAACAAAAAAATCATAATGATGTGAATGAGGGGGAGGGGAGAGTGGAGACCTGAAACCCATCAGTAGCCAATTGGACATCCCTTGTCATAAGGGCCACACGGAAAAGACGAGCCAGTCAGGGTGCAATATAGCACCAACGAAACACACTTTAGTTCTTTAAGGCACCCCCCCCCACCATCATGACCCCAATTCTACCTTACAAATCTGGCTAGACCAGAACGTGTACATGGGTACAGATGAGAGCTCACAAAACAGGGAATCCAGAACAGATAACCCCCGCAGGACCAATAATGGGAGTAGAGCTACTAGGAGGACAAGGGAAGGGGAAGGGGGGGAATAAAGGGCAACTGATCACAATGATCGATGTATGACCGCCTCCTAGTGGCACAGACAACAGAAAAGTGGATTAATAGAGACAGTGGTCAGTGTAAGACATGAAAAAAATTATAAATTATCAAGGGTTCATGGGGGAGGGAGTCTGGGGGAGGGAGGGGTAAATGAGGAGCTGATACCAAGGGCTCAACTAGAAAGGAAATATTTTGAAAAAGATGATGGCAACATATGCACAGATGTACTTGACACAATGGATATATGTATGGATTTTGATTAGTGTGCCCCCAATAAAATTAAAAAGGAAACACTGTCCAGTCTGTGCCATCCTCACAGTCACTCCTATCTTTGAGATCATTGTTGCAGCTACTACATAAATTCATCTTGTTGAAGGTCTTTCTTTTTTTCATTGACCCTCTACTTTACCAACAAGTTTACTTTTGTTCACAATGGCATGCCTCTCCTGATGGCACATCCAAAAGACTTGAGACTAGGTATGACCATCCTTATTTCTAAGAGGCTTCCTGGTTCTCTTTTATCCAGTGCATTATTCTGGCATTCCATGGTATACTTAATATTCTTCACCAACATTCTAATTCAGGGATGGTAAAAGGATAGAACTCTGACACACCCTGTTCCTGATTTTGAACTACCTTGTTCTATTCAAACAACTGCCTTGTATAGATCAAATGAAGGCTGTGTCACAAAACAAGGACTTCTCTTTTTTGTTAAATAAAGGTTTCCATGGTTTTTCAGAAATACTTTTTGACTTGCCCTTGTATGTTCAGTGGAACAACAAGGAAAAAAATCTATTAATCTAAGAATCTATCTTCCATATAAGGCAGTAGTGGTTATGAATAGCAATATTTTCTTCCAAAGAGTGAATAATACTGTAAATCTTGGTATTATCCTCATTTTAGAAAATAGAAATAGAAACAAGCTCGGTAAATTAAATGATTTACTCAGGGTCTATTCGAGTCAGGTTTTGAATATAGATTCATTTAAATTCAAACCTTGTATGCTCTCTGCCAAACAAGACATGATTCAAAAAATAAATGGGGAAAGATGCACTTGTAAGATCCACTGAGGAGATAGGAAGATTGCTCTGAGAAAGCAGAGCAGAGCATCCAAATTCAATTGGTATAAAAAGAACATAGGATCCTTGTTAGACTTTAGACTATTTTATGGTCTGTGTGTGTGTGTGTGTGTGTGTTTATCTATACAAGATAGGGGCAGGATAGGCAATCCCCGGAGACAGCTATGGGACTGACGGTTAGGGGGTCATGGGAGGGAAGGAGGTGGGGGAGGTGAGTGGTGAGCCAGTAATGACAGGGACAGGGGAACAGTAAAGATTCTAAAATTGATGGCCAGGAGGGTGTGGCTTGTCTGGTTGTGTTTGATCAATCAAATTGTATCCGAGAGGAATTGCTGAGAGGTGAGTGATGGGTAAACATAGTGGGGCAAAAGGAAAGAAAAAAGAAAAAGAGGAAAGAAGACAGAAAGAACATATAGATATAGATAGAGAGATATGTATATATATGTAAATATATACATGTAGGTGTATTTGCTTATATATGTGTGTCTATAGATGTGAATACAACAAAGAAGCAGCTGGACTTTGGGTCTCTATACTTAAATATTAACTAAGTACAAGAACGGTTTGTTCCAATAATGTGGCATTGCATGATGCTCACCTTCCCGACACAATCACTGAAGACAAAATGGGGGCATAAGCAAATGTCAGGAAAGTTGAAGGTCCCCGGCTATTAAAAGATATAGCATCTGAGGTCTTAAAGGCTTGTTGGTAAACAAGCAACCATCTAGCAGGGAAGCAACAAATCCCACAGGGAAGAATCATACCAACCTGTGTGATAATGAAGTGTCGACAGGAAGAAGTATCAGAAATTCAATAACAAGCAACCAAATTGATGTGAAGGGGCGTGGATGTAGTGGGGACCCAAAACCTACCTGTAAGATAATTTGACAGTCCTTCTCACAAGGGCCACACAAAAGGGATGATAAATCCAGATTGCGTTATACCACTGATGAACCACATAACTATCCTCTAGTTCTTTAACAGTTCCTCCCCATATTATTATGGTTTTTGTCTTACCTCACTAATCTTATTAGATTTGCATATGTTCATTTGTATAATTAAGATAGTTGAATACATGAAAACCAAGATAGACAACCCTTCAGACACAGTAACGGGAATAATTGTTCCCTGAGGGTATGGGAAGAGAGGGGAGAAAGGTGGGGAGGGGGATCTGATTGCATTGATGACTGTATAGCCCCACTTGAAGGGAGTGAACAACAGATTGTATGTGAATGGAGATATTGAATAGTGTAAGATACAGCAAAAATAATAATGATGATGAAACTGATTGTGGTAGCAATTATACAATACTGCTTGATGTGATTAAACAATGGCATGGTATATGTGTAAGAGCTCCCAATAAAATGGTTAATAAAAAAAGCTGAGTATAAATAAATATAAGTGAAAACTTCTTAGACTAAAAGAAGAAGAAAGGTTACATCCTAAATAAATAAGTAAAATAAAATGCAAAAAAACAAAAACAAAACATAGCCTTCCTGTGTGGTCCTAAAGGCTCTATTTAAGAAGGGAGGGAGATATGATAACTGAAAAGTTACAGTAATCTGAAAAATCCTACCTGACATCAAATAAATGGGATATTTATTATAGTTAATAAATAATTATCTTTTCTAATTTGTATATTGACTTTTACCTCTAAAATATTTCATAATCCTCTACCTTTTTTCATGTTTTTTTTAAAAAGTGGTCTTTCTAGTACCTGCTTTTTTTTCATTGCAGAGACAATTAAAGGCAGATGCTAAGAAGGCTATTGGAAGACTTGAGTTGCGCACACTGAAACAAGGAGACAAGGTACACGGTGCTTTCATTCATCCAGAGAAGGGCTCGCTATACGTGGAACTCAGGACAGATAAACTCCTCAGGAACAGTAGTGGAAGGAGCGATTTCATGAGGGGAGGAGGATGGTCGCGGAGGGGGAAAGGGGAGAAAGGGGGAACCCATCACAAGGTGGGATATATACCTCCCCCCAGGGGACCCATAACAGAAATGTGGGTAAAGGGAGACAACAGTGTAAGATACAAAACAATTATAACAATATAGAATTGATCAAGGATTCACGAGGGGGGTGGGGGGAAGAGTTACTTATACCAAGGGCTCAAGTAGAAAATATTTTAGAAAAAATGACGGCAACATCTGTACAAATATGCTTGATACAAATGATGTATGGAGTGTTATAAGAGCTGTAAAAGCCCTCAATAAAATGAGTTTCTAAAAAAGTTATATGGTGTTTTAAAGCAAAGTTTTCAAAGCATTGTTCAAATTCCTGTTATTCCACAGTAGGCTTTCCACTGGCATCTATAAATTTTATTTATAGCTTTATCTATTTGATACTAGTGGTAAGCTGAATAATAGCCCCCAAAGATATACAGGAGCTAGTCCCTAGAAACTGTGCATGCTATCTCCTATGGCAAAAGAGATTTTGTAGATGTGGTTAAGGTAAAGATTTTCAGATGAGAAGATAATCCTGCATCATCTGGTGGACACTTAATGTAATTACAAGTATCCATTAAGAAGGAGACAGAGGGAGAGACCACCTCGACCACCTCCAAACACAGCTAGACCTTAAATATGCAGTATTTTGATTTCTATTCCATTTTCAGTACATGACACCCAGGATTGATGAACCTATAGAAACAACAAGTAGAATAAGGGTTCCTGGGGGTACAGTGGGGGAGGGGGTAATGGGGAGCTGCTATCAAGGAGTTTAAGAAGGAGAGAACAGTCTGAAACTGATGGGTAGCAATTGTACAATACTGCTCAGTGTGATTCAACTATGTAGTGATATGATAGATAGCCATATTAGCTCCCAATAAAATGGCTCTGAAATTTTTTTTTCTAAATGCAAGGGTGAAGTTTTTCTTGAAGTCATGGTTTACTTAGTAGTGGACTTTAAATTTCATTTTCTTTTAAAAACTAAATAATTTTAAGTGGCTCATTGAAAGTTCCCAATTATGTAGTCATTTAATGATATTTAATGATATGATCCTCCTTCTAAAGGAATGTATCCTCGTTAAGTGCATGTTTATTCTGCTCTTGCTCTGTTGATATATTTGTCCTATTATTTGCTCGTAGGAAATAGGCCCTGATGGAGATAGTTGTGCTGTGTGTATTGAACTGTATAAACCAAATGATTTAGTGCGAATCTTAACCTGCAAGTAAGTTTGATTTTCTTTTATATAATCAGTAAGAATAGATGGTTTTCAAAAATGGTTGCGATAGGGGAAACTAGTTTGAATGTTTCTAAATTGGTATAATGAGTGTTTGCTTAAATTAATTTTCATTTTAAAGTTGAATGCTTTGTTTATAAAAGAATACTGAAGTTGGTATAAATCTAACTGTATGCAGTTTACATAATCTGGTATGATGTATTATAGACTATTCTGAATTTTTGAAGGGGGTTTCAAAATTTTCATGGAAAAATTCTGTTATCTTTACATTCCATTATCCCATGAACGTTTTCAAGCTCCCTTATTCAAAACCTAGTCAGAACAACTATTATATGTAATAAGGTAGTGTTGAATTATTCAATGGATGCCTTTTCTCCTCTTTTAAACTCTGAATTTAAATTTAACATGAATTTTTAATTCATTCAGACTAAAAATACCACTGAAAAATCAAACAATGAATAAGGAAGACTGCAGAATAATTAATGCATTTGAATTATGGTGTTGGCAAAGAATCTTGAAAGTACTATGGACTGCCAAAAGAGTAAACAAATATGTCTCAGAGGAAGTACAGACAGAACATTCCTTAGAAACCAGGATGGCAGGACTTTGTCTCACGTACTTTGGACATGTTGTCAGGAGAGAGCAGTCCCTAGAAAAGGACATCATGCTTGGTGAAGTAGAGAATCGACAAAAAAAGAGAAAGACCCTCAAAGAGGGTGGATTAACACAGTGATAACAGCAATTGTGGGGAGATGATAGGACTAGGCTGGGTGTCATTCTGTCTTCTATGGGATTCCTAGGAGTCGGAATGGACTCAGTGGCACCTCCCCACAGCAGCAGCAGGTTGTTGGGCTTTATAGCTTACTGTACGATAGATTACCATAGGTTTCCTGTTCGAAATCCATTTGGAAATCTTCACTCTGCACATTTTATTCTCTCTCCTCTCCTGAAGGTTGTGCTTAACACGTTCTTGAACTTATTAATAATGATCTTGAAATATAACACATTGCCTACAACGTCAGTACTCAACTGCTTGGTACTATATTGTCCTATAGCACTGGTTCTCAACCTTCCTAAGACTGCGACCCTTTAATACAGTTCCTCGTTTGTGATGATTCCCCAACCATAAAATTATTTTCATTGCTACCTCATCACTGTCATTTTGCTACTGTTATGAATTGTCATGCAAATATCTGATATGTAGGATGTATTAGGCGACCCCTGTTAAAGGGTCGCTCGACCCCCAAAGGGTTGAGAACCGCTGTACTATATTATTGAAAATGAGGAGAACTGTTCCATTTTGCAGTTAGGGAACCACAAGATAATTGTTTGAGATCTGAAAGACTGAGCAAAGTCTTATGTCAGGAAGCATCTTAATCATTCTGTAAGCAGTGAGTACTAAAAATAGTCTATTGAAGCTAAACTAGTAAGGCTTCTGTATTTCCAAGTATTGTATCATGAAATTTCTAAAATGTGCTTCTGTGCCTCCTTCATAGTATTAATGCTATAATAGAGTTTAAAAGAGGGGGAAAGGCATCCATTAAAAGGCGAAGTCAAATGATAGAGTAACCTATTAACATATTAGACAAAGTTGTTACTGTTTCATAACTAATAACTGAATTCTGTGTTCCCACCTTAATTAGCCATATTTTCCACAAGACATGTGTTGACCCATGGCTGTTAGAACACAGGACTTGCCCCATGTGCAAATGTGACATACTCAAAGCTTTGGGAATTGAGGTAAACATTGCTATGCTATTTATATGGAAGAACCTAAGCACTGTGTTATGTATATAGCCAGGCCTCTGGGAAATGTCATCTTGACTTTTTACTCTGTACTGTGCCACTTACGGAGTTTATACCTAACATTGGAAACCTGTATGTCACAGAGATGTGAGACCACCTCCAAGTATACTTAATATTTGGTCAATTGCCAATGATGAGCATGTAAACAACAAACTTGACTTTCTGGGTTGTTGTTCGTTTTTTAAAAACTTTGTTATTTGCCACATAGTGGCAAAGCTTGTAGTTAAACGAAACTGTATACGTTGAAAAAGCCTATTAAATACTAAATGATTATTTGACCACCTACTTTGGCCATCCACAAAAAAGCAAGTTGAACTTAACAAGATCTTGACTTGAGGAGATGGATAGTTCGTAACAATTCTCCATTTCCCTAGGGCACAACTTGTTTTTCTCTATTGATATTTACCCTTCTTTGTTTTTTGAGTAGATAAATTGCACCTGGCCTTATTAGGAAGCACTGGGGTCACCCAAATGAACATATCGGCTGTGAGGGCAGTCCAGCATCTTCACTGGATTGCTGGACCCAGCTACTCGTAACTGCTATGGCAGGGGCCAACACGAGACGGTTGTGTTCATCAAAATATATCATAGGCTGAATTGTGCATGTAGCAATTGTTGGGCTGGTAAATTATATATAGCTTTACCATACATTAAGAGAAGATATGTAGGTATAGTCGGTTCAAAGATTAAGAAACATTGCTCTCATGAGTCACCGAGGAAGAAATATTATAATGCTGTATCAAAGAAAAGTGTGTTCTCAGAGTCTTGATTTGTTCAATCGCTTTCCCAAGGCGGATGTTGAAGATGGATCAGTGTCTTTACAAGTGCCTGTATCCAATGAAACATCGAATAGTGCCTCTCCTCATGAAGAGGACAATCGCAGTGAGACCGCATCTTCTGGATATGCTTCGGTACAGGGAGCAGATGAACCACCTCTGGAGGAACATGTGCAGTCAGCAAGTAAGCACTCTACACAGGGCCAATGAGCACCACCCCTAAGTGATCCATTGTGGGTCATATACCCTTCACAATAAAACTAAACTCACTGCCATCCAGTCATTTTTGACTCATACTGACCTGACAGATTAGACAGCCTCATCTCTCTCCCTCAGAGCTCCTGGTGGGTTTGAACTACTGACTTTGTGGTTTGCAGATCAATATGCAGCCCACTACACCACCAGACCTCCTTACTTCAGAATAGCCCTGCTTTTTTAAGCATAGATTCCATTCTTCCATAAATATTTTCAACATTTTTTTTCTAATTAAAATAATGCAACATAGTGAGTATCCCCTACTTTAACCTACACACGTCTAAATGCATCTAAAACAGATGAAATGCATCAGGGGGTGAGGGTGATTTGAAAAAGATTTATCACAAAACTTCTCTCTGGTACATTTAAGTATTTTAATTTATTAACTACTTACAGGACTAAGGAGATGCTTGTAAACTTTAGACATCATTTATTGCAAATCTATCAGAAATTAAGATAAAGGGGTCATTAAAGAATAAAGTAGAATTCAGTTTATGAAAGCTTGATTTATATTCAACTTCTCAGGAGCCCATCTTTTATCCAGATCCAAAACTGATTTGAAGAATAGTATGTGCTGCCACCTGTTGACTATTTTCCATGATGATCATAGGAACGAAAAATTGAATAGATGATTTTCAAAATTCATGTGAATCAGTACTTCAGCTTAGTAATCTTTATGCCAATGGAGCAATTTAGGGAAATGTTCCATTTTTCCCCTAGAGAGAAAAACTTCTACCAAAAAAGTATTCTCCCTTTCTTCAACGTCATATATTTTCCTTCCTTCCTTCCCTCCCTCCCTCCCTTCCTTCTTTCTCTCACTCCCTTCCTTCTTCTTCCTCCTACTCCTTATTTTTTGGGGTGGTGAGTTTGTAAGTATATTCTCATTCCTCAGCATGAGGTAAGAGTGGAAGAACAGTTGATTCATCAGATGTCTTATCAAAGGTTCACAACCCTATGACATAAACCTTTGCCCTCTTTCAGTTTATCTGTGCTATAGATAACATTTCTGAAGACGTCACAGCGAATACCTTCATGCATAAGAAGGCCTCATCTGCCTTATAATCTAATCTTCAGGCATTATCTAGAGTAGCAAGTGGTCATAAGAATTTTTGATCTGGGCATTCATCCACCCGTAATAGAGAGCCATTGTCAATTTGACCAAGATGATCTTTTGCTCGCATAACTTTGTAGCAACAGAATCCAGTGAAGAGAAAGGAGAACGCAGAGACTAGTTCAGTATCTTTCTGGACATCCAGAACACACCTTCCAACCTACTTTTTGTGTGTTTTATTCTCCAGGAGGAAGTATGAGCAGACCAGATTTTGCAGAGAATTTTGAGAAGCAAATGAAATAATCACCATTGCTTCTCATATTCTTTATCTAGACAACTAGTAGTCCCACCCACCTGACGTGCCCCCAATCAGAAACCAGGAATAGCCTAGATTTTTCCCCTCTCCCTTCCTATTGATTCAACAGCCTTTTGTCTCAAATTTCTCCCTTAACTTCCCAACTTTATTTCCAGATACATTGTTTGAGACACTGCCTTCCCTTTTCCCATTTTTTCCCACTCTTCCCCTCCAAGAAATTGTGGAAGCTCAGTGCAATTCCTGTTCCTCCTTTTTAAGACTTGCCCTGCTTTAAGAAGCTTTTCTTGACTCATATGTATGGATTGTACTATGTGCTTCCATTGAATTTTTACTTGAAATGAAATTTTTATTACAATGAATGGTGTTAAAAATTTTAGTTACCTACAGTAAGGACAATGCCTTATTGACTAGTCATACCATATACCCAGCATCTAACACAGCCTGCCACATAGTAGGTACTCAAATATACGTTGAACAAATGTCCACCTATAACCAATTGAATCTTACCTATAATTATGTGTCTATCACCAATTATGAATTACTAGTTTATGGATTCTGCATATCATCATTGATTATGATGATAGTTGGTTTCCATAGCTTTTTTTTAACCCAGAATTGATTAGTTCAAATCTATGTGTCACGACATTGTGCTGAGTTCTATTTAGAGCATTGGTTTTCAAATTGAAGCATGAATCAGAGTTACCTAGGGGATTTGTTAAAAACATAGATTATTGAACACTACCACCAGAATCTCTGACTCAGTTGGTCTGGGGTAAAGCCATAGTATTTTCATTTCTGCCACGTTCCCAGATAATGCAGTTGCTGCTGGTATAGGAAGCACACATTGTATAAGAGCACTAGTTCTCAACCCTGGCTGTACATTAGACTCTCCTGGAGAACACTTAAATATTGCTGATGCCTGGGATCTTACCCAAAAAAATCAAAAAGCACACTGTCGCCAAGTTGATTCTAACTCATAGCAACCCTATATAAATGAGTGGACAGCTTCATCTTTCTCCCAGGGAGAAGCTGAGGGATTTGAACCCCTGACCTTGAGGTTAGCAGCTCAAAAGCTAACCCATGAGCACCATGAGAGTTCCTTGAGCTTTTGCTTCACTCACTGCTATTGAGTTGACTTATGGAGATGAGACACTGTACTGGAGTAGAAAGCCTCAACTTTTTCTCATGAAACAGCTGATGATTTTGAACTACTGAACTTGTGGCAGCTTGAGTTCTTCCTTAGATCAGTTAAATAAGAGCCCATGGGACCCCAAACATGGATGTTTTTGTTTTGTTGTATTTTGTTTTTAATATGTGCATACTGAGAAAAAAATTTAAATAGGACAAAGAATGTTCCTGTATGGCCTTCACCCAGCAACTCTAAGTATTAACGTCACATGTTTATCAAATAAAACCAGGACATTAACATTGGTACAATGCTATTAACTGAACTACTGACCTTACTCAAATTTCACCAATTGACCCACTAAATGTCCTTTTTTTCAGGCTCAAGATCTCACATTGCAATTCTTTGGCGTGTCGCTTTAGTCTCCAATCTGAGACAGTTCATCAGTCTCTGTTCTTCAAGACCTTGACATTTTTTAAAAGTGCTGGTCAGTTATATTGCAGACTACTCCTCAATTTGGATTTGTCTGCTACTTCCTAGTTATTAATGGTGTTGGCCATTTCTGGGAAGAATACCACTGAAAAGATGTTGTGCCTTTTTCAGTGCCTCATACCAAAAGGCACATGATGCCCGTGTTTTCATTTGTTCGTTTTTTCCCCCTTTTTACATAAAACCACCTTTTCTCTTATGATACTAACTTTGATCAATTGGTTGAAATGATGCATGCCAGGTTTCTCCTTTGTAACGTTGCTCACTTACTGGTTTTCCTGTTGTCATTATTAAACATCTTGTAGAGAGACACTTTGAGACTGAAAATATCAGATTGTCCTAAATGTGGCCACTGAAAACTCCTTCAAATTAGCCCATCATTTTTTAAACACTTCCTTACTTTCTGGTACCACAAGATACTGTAGGCAAAAGATGGGCAGTTCTTTTCTATACAGGGCCAGATAGAAAACATTTCAGGTTATGAGGGTCGGTCAGTAGTCTCTGTTACATATTGGTTTGTAGTCTGTCGTTTACTGAACTCTAGGTTAGAATCTAGTAACAGTACTCTTCCCTGGCCCAGCCCTGGTTACATTATTGGACAGTGGTCAATCAAATCCAAGGGCTAGACATAAGTTACATATGCTACTAGAATATAATTGCTATAGGCCCTTTCAGTGGGCAGAGCTAGGACATACTCTGATGTGCTCACATATACACATATACTCCCCTTTCTCTAGTCATCTATCTATACAACGTATGTATAGGTAAAACAGCTCAGATTGAGAGATTGTAATCCAACACCACAGATTTCATTCTATCCCTTCTTTCCTAACTCACAGATCTTTTCTGCAAACAAAGGGAAACATGACTCTCATTATCCACAATGTATTTACCCTATTTACTTATTTACTAGACTTAATTTCCTTTTCCTTCCTCTGAAGGGTTATGTATCTCATTTGTAATACAAGTAGATTCACTTATTACTGTTCATATTCCATGTTTGGAACCCTTCTATATCTTCCTGATTTTATTTGTTTGTTTGTTATTTATTTATAGCGTATGAGGCGCAGGTAATATTCTGAAGTGCCCTAAGTGATTGAAATGTGCAACCAGATTTGAGAACTGATACATTTAGGATATAGAAGAAGCGGAAGACATAACTTTCGCTCCCTAAGAACACTGTTCTCTGGGTAGAAGTAAACACATACGTGAATCAACCAAACAATAACTACAAATCAATATAAAAATGTCATACATGCTCTCTATAAATTATATTATACATTGCGTTACTGGTAAGGAAAAAAAGTATAATCATCAGATGATGGAATTAGAAAAACATTTCTGGGAAATGAGTATTGAATTTTGTCTTAAAAGAAGGAAAAAGTGAAATCATCCTAAAACTGCCATTTCTTTTTTCTTTCTTTCTTTCTTTTTTTTCTTTGCCATTTCTTTTTGAAGATGAAAATCTACAGCTGGTGAACCATGAAGCAAGTTCCGTGGCAGTGGATGTTGTTCCACATGTTGACAACCCAACCTTTGAAGAAGATGAAACTCCTGACCAAGAGACCGTTGTTCGAGAAATTAAGTCATAAAAGCTGTGTCAATGGGAAACTTGAATCTTTAGTAATAACCGAACTGCCAATCAGGGCCTAGTTTACTATTAATGAGCTGGATAAATTTAATATGATAAGAATGATACGGAGAGTGCTGAGATGACTAATATTATGCTATAATCAAATGGCTTCAAATATTTAACCTATTAACCTTTTCCCACAAGCTCACTATAATGTTTTTCCTAAGCTAGTTTCTTCTCAATAGTGGCAGTTAAAAACATTTTAAACATTCAGAACTCTCTTCAAGTAGTCATGGTTTTCATTTATAACAATCTTATAAAACTGTGTTGCATTCAAAATGTGAAGTAGCTGTAATCACTTTATTTTACAGTAGTATCTTAATTAAAAATAACACTACTTTAGCTTGGGCTCTATGCATCAGGGTTTTTCTCCAGGTGCTTATATTGGTCTGGAATTGTTATGTAAAAAGCAATGAAAACTTAGGCTAGTACTTCATGAAATGTCTATTTAAGCTACATTAAGTTGATAAAACAAGATTAGAGCAAATACTCATTTTAACCATTTCATGTTTATAAAATTAGGCTAAGTGTACTTCATGTGAGTGTCAAGCATAGTTTATAAGAGAATATGGATTAAGTTGATTGGTATATTAATGACACCAATTTGACAACAGATTATAGACAAAAAAAGATTTCTTGCAAAAATGCTGTGTATTTCTCAAACTTGTGGAATATTCAAAAGCACAGGATTAACTAAATTACCATACTATTTGAAAATGGTGATGTGAGGAAGCAAGTCACAAAAATTGGTCATTGGTTTTTATGTATGAATTCATCTACAGAACTTCATCTGTAGAAAATGTTTTTCCAAATAATGTTGACTTTGAAAATTGAGTTTACAAGCTATATAAATGGGCTAAAATTATATTAGATAAATTGAAATTCTGTCTATGTAGCTATAAATTTTTTGAATGCATTTTCTTGGTGTTTGAAAAAAAATTGAGGGGTGGTGGGAGAATTCCAGGTGCCTTAATATAAAGTTTGAAGCTTCATCCACCAAAGTTCAATAGAGCTATTTAAAATTGCACATTATTTGTATTTTGTGTGGCTTATCTTTTATTTTAAACTTTGTTTCCAGTATAAATTCCAACATAATTTAGGCAAAAGCAGAATAGACATGTATTTTATTTGTAGAATGGATGAAACCATTACATTCTTGTACGCTGATTTGAAATGCTGTAAATATAGTCCCAATTTCTATTGATTCTCTTTAAATATAAAATGTAAATAAAATATTCCAATAAAAAGCTGTGTCTGGTGTTCAGTTTAGCTGTTATATACTAATTCTGTATGTGTAAAATGCCCGGATTTGGGAGGGAAAATAGTTTTATATAAATGGTCATTGATATAGCTAATCAACTAAAACATAAAACAAGTCTGACACATTTTTATGTATCTTTTTAGGTAGAAATGAATGGCTGCCACTGAGCCTATCATTAATTATTGTGATAAGAGCTGTATGATTTTTTAAAAGAAAAGAATAAATAGGTGCTTGAAACAATACAGAACCATGATTATCCACCCAGCTAAGCATATGTCTTACATTCACTGTGCCAAAGGTGTGGGTAATGTCACACCCGAAATTCAGCCTACCTCCGTACAGAGATAATATTTCAAGCTTTGTAGAAGTTCTTCTGGGAGGATATTGATCACATTAAAATGTTTAACAGCTACATTAATAAGCTACATGCCAAATATCCCCCAATGCAAGTGTAGAGTTTGATGATTAGTAACTTTATAGAGCTATGTAACCATCACAATCTAGTTTTTGAACTTTTACATCACCTACCCCCCAAATTTTCTTTCATGCCTATTTGCAGTAAATTCCCACTCCTCCCACTCTCAGGTCTGCTTCTATTGTTATAGATTTGCTCATTCTGGACATTTTATATAAATGAAACAATATGTGGTTTTGCATAACCACCTTCTTTCACCTAGTAAATATTTTTGAAGTTCATCTGTGTAGCATGAATAAGAACTTTTCTGATTTCTTTTAATGGCTAAATAGTATTCCAAGTGGGTATAAACCACATTTTGTTTAATCTGTAAATGGACCCTTAGGTTGTTCCCACCTTTTAGCTTTCATGAACAATGCTGCTATGAAAATTCAAGTACAAGACTTGTGGAGATACGAGGAGGTCCCCCCGCAAAAAAAATGGAATTTTTTTCAAAGCTATGTATTTAAATCTTTTTTTTTTCAAAACAACTTTGCCATCTTCAAAGTCCTCTCCATTACACAAACATTTTTTAACTCATCTGTTTGGATAGCTGACAGCACCTCCCTCGTTTTTTTCTTCACCTCTTTTGTGTTGTCAAATTGCTGTTCTTTCGTGTCCCTCTTCATTCACAGACACAGATAGAAGTCACATGGAGTGAGGTCAGGGGAGTCAGGTGTGGGGGGCAAGAAAGGCATGCTTGTTTTTTGCCAAAAACTGGCACACTGGATTGTCTGCATGAGCAGGTGCATTGTGGTGGCAAAGTCAGTTCCCCACCTGCCACAAATCAGGCCTTTTTTTATCATTGGTGTGCAATCTTTTCAGGATCTCTACAATTTAGAGTTAGGGTTCTCAACCTTCCTAAAGCCGTGACCCTTTAATCCAGTTCCTCATGTTGTGGTGATCCCCCCAAATAAAATTACTTTCGTTGCTACTTCATAACTGTAATTTTGCTACTGTTATGAATTGGGCCAGCCCTGTGAAAGGGTCGTTTGACCCCCAAAGGGGTCACAACCCACAGGTTGAGAACTGCTGCTCTAAATAGAAAGCTTGATTAACAGTCTGATCCGGTGGTATGAACTCCAAATGTACTACTAGTTGACCGTTAGGGAAGTTGACAGACATCCAGAAAGAAGTTTGTCATTAATTGACATTTCACTTTTTTTGAAAATAGAAAACCACGCATACACTTGAGTTTTTCCCATAGTGCTATCCTTGTAAGCTGTGTTCAACATCACAATTTCTGCGGCATTTTTCCCGAGCAGGAAACAAAATTTCACAGCCGCACGCTATTCTCTTAAATCAACCATCACAAAAAAAGGAGATTTGAGCGCAATTGCTCTTATAAGAAAAATCCACTGTGACCAGAGAGAACCTTCCCAGGTAACACCACTGGTTGTATTAACTCAGAGCGAGTTGCTGGGTGCTCACCTAGCAAGGAAAATGTGTACTATGAAAGCTCCGCTCAGCAGAGTTTTTTCCGGTTTTGAGGGGGTACCCCCTTGTTTTCATTTCTCTTGGGTATACTAGAAGCAATCTAAAAGTATTGCTTCAAAAGCATACAAAATTTTACTAAGCAAAAATATCCCATTGTGAAGCTACTGCTTCTTGATATGTCCTCCACCTAGATCTAGACACCTCTGAACGCAGTGTCTCTATCTCCCTGAGACTCCCCTGAAGAATTCTGAGATCTTCTATTTATATCATGCATTTACATCCTTGAGGAATTCAACTCATGAAACAAAAAGAATGGAGGGGCAAGATCAGGGCTATAGGGTTAATGGGGTAATATTCCAAATGAAATTCTTATAGGACAGCCCTGGCATTGCTTGAAGTATGAGCACATGCATTTTTCAAGATGAAAATAAAATTTCTCTGTACAAAGTTCTTGGACTTTCACCAAGGCAGATTTCTACTTTCTTTTTTTCACCAATGCAGATTTCTATTTTCTTTTTTGTATTAATACCACATGTGTTTTTGAAATTAATTTATTTTTAATTATTTTATTGGGGGCTCATACAATTCTTATCACAATTCATACATCTATCCATTGTGTCAAGCACATTTGTACATTTGTTGCCATCATCATTTTCAAAACATTTTCTTTCTACTTGAACCATTGGTATCAACTCATTTTTTTTCCTTCCTCTCCCTCCCTCCCGCTCTCATGAACCCTTGATAATTTATAAATTATTTTTATTTTCATATCTTACACTGATCACTGTATCCCTTCACCCACTTTTCTGTTTTCTGTTCCCCTTAGAGGGGGTTATATGTAGATCATGGGTGATTGGTTCCCCCTTTATCCCCCCACCTTCCACTACCTTCCTGGTAAAGCTACTCTCATTGTTAATCCTGAGGGGTTTATCTGTCCTGGGTTCCCTGTGTTTCTAGCTCTTACCTGTACCCCTGTGCATGCTCTCTCTGGTCTAACCAGATTTGTAAGGTAGGATTGGGATCATGCTGGGGGGAGGGGAAGCATT